AGCGCTCAAAGCCGCCTCCACGCCCTGAAGAAGCAAGACTGTAAACCTGAAAAGCAGACGCAGGCCCCTGCAGCAGAGCCTGAGAATGGAGCCCCAAGGCCTCACACCACCTACTTTCAACACGAGCAGACGGTGTCAACTCAAGCCCTAGTCTACAGCTTACACAGGTCTTCCATGCCTCACCAGGCTATCTGGTGCACCCGAGGGGGCTGTCAAGTTTTCCTGGGCAGCTTCACTGGTATTTAACCCTCTGAAAAAGCATGAAAGGCCAGCCTTGTGGTCAACTGCCTCATCTCCAGGTTAGCAGGATTCCTGCTCTCTGGGCCACTGCTCAGATTTTTAAAATATGTAGTATAGCTAGTTTTCCCTCTCCACCCAGCCAGCTTTGCATGCTGCTAAATACTGTAACTACCCAGACAATGTGGCAAGCCAAACCCAGAGCCCACCCGCCAGAACTCTGGGCAAGGACCAGCTGGAGAGAGCAGTTCTGGAGAACACTGAGTGGTTTTCTTTCTTCCCTTCTTCCAGGAACCATGCAAGGATGGAGACATGTGACAGACCTGGTAGAGGAAGGTGAGGCGCCCCACATGCAAGACAGCTGCTGTATGCTCACAGAAGCCCTCACAGAGGGAGACACCCGCCCCTGGACACTGGGAAGCATGGGCAGGTGGCAGCTGGGCTCTGCAGGGCAGGCTAGGAGCACAGAGCACAACACCCAGCCCCAGAACCCACCAGCGAAACAGGAGAATGTTAGGAACCACCTAGGGCCTAAGAGCTGTTAGGGACAAAGGCTACACACAGAGTCATTCTCTCTAGTTTTCCTAACTCCAAACCTGACCCCGAACTAACGCAATTCCAAATCTCCAAATTTAACAAAGACTGATATAGGCAAAGGTTCCTGCCAGCCCACCTGGAGCCCGTTGAGGGCCTCTGGGTTCACTAACTGCATGCTGGCACTAAAATGCTCACTAGGTGAACAAGTGAAAGAACAGGGAGACAGACAGGCAGTCAGCCCCTTATATGAAAAAAGTGTCAAACTTCCAACAGACAAGGAAGCAATTAATTCTGCCCTGAGGAGTGTTTTGGGGGGTGGGGGGAGCACCACAAGATTCAGAACTTGGACTCACCAGGAATGTTAACAACACTGGCAATGGCTCCCCAGTCAGGCCAACCAAGTTGGGGCCAACAGGAAATGCACACATCTGACACTCTCTCTCCTCAGTGACCCCAGCTCCCAGGAGTCAGCCCAGAAACACTCCACTGTTCCACACCCTGCAGGAACTGCTGCTACAACTTCTCTCCACTTCCAGCCCGGAGGGCGCCCTCAGAACTAGCCTGGGGGTGCTAACCAATGTCTATGGCCAGGGCGAGCCCTTGCCTGTGTGGTGCAGGCCAATCCCAGGCAGGCCAAGTGTTTCCAGGGACCCAGAGTTGAGCAGGGAGAGCTGGTTCCGGCTTCCTGTCACCCTGCAGAGCTGAGCCAACTATTCCAAGAAAAGGAGGGGCTTCTGCTGTGCAGCCATCAGCTCTTCCCAGCTGGGACAAGCTCCAGTCTCCCCTTCCATCAGCTCTGCCCTACAGCATCTGCACCAAGCCAGGGCCTACCTCACAGAAGGTCAGCAAGGCAACAGACCAGTTAGGAAAACCTATCTTGGCCTGTCAGTGTCTGTGCTCTTTCCTTCAGGCTCACCTGTGGGATGCCATGGCATGGGCATCCTCCCTGGGATGCAATGCCCAGATCCCCTCTCAGGGAAGCTGCGGGCAGTTGGTCTTCAGCAGTCAGCCCTCTCAGAGATTTTGTGGCTGCACAGACCCCTGCCCCAGGCCACACTCCTCCCAGGACAGCCCCCATCTGAAGACTGATGGACGGGAGCAGGAAGGCCTGATCATCTTGCCAGTTGGGGACAGCTCTGAAGGGCCACGCCTCTACAGAACAGAGGCTGTCGTGGGGCCTTCCTTGTAACACGGTTGTCCCTGTGCCTGCTCCTGCTTCTCTCACCTCCCTCCACAGTGTTGTCCCACGAATACTCCTTAATAACTATCCTGCATGACAAACTCCCCACCTCCCCTTCCTGGAACCCAGACTCTGGCATTAAGTCCCAAACACACACTGACACAATTTTCTACTACCTATCAATCCTCACAGATAACATCCTCAGAGGAGCCCAAGTCACAGGCCAAGATGACAACTCTGACCATAGCAATCTTGCTGAACTTGAACACTCTGCTTTTCTTTCATTATCACCCTCCAAGTGCCTCGATATCTGTGGACTCTGCTGTCCTCCACAGACCACTTCCACCATCATAAAACCCCAGAGGTTGGAAGGCCACCACATCGAGACCACCACAAAGGTCAACAAGTGACCCGAAGGGCAAGCTAAACAAAGGAGCACTCTGGGTGTGGCCCAAGCAACCACCGACCATCAGGGCGTTCTTCACACACTTGGTGCTCATGGCCTCCTCTCTCAGGTCAGGCCGACTGTTCTCTTCATCCAGCTCCACCCCAAGCCCGAACTGCTCCCCACTGAGCCAGCCCAGCCTGGCTCAGAGGTGTCACACTGAGCTCTACTGCCATTAACTGCAAGTGCTTTGGGCCCCCCAAAAACTTGATAATCACTAGTGCCTGGGGAGGATGGAAATGGTGGCCTCCGGAAGTAGGTTCATCTCTCTTTGATGGGTCTCAAAAAGTCAAAAAACTTTAGCGGCCCTGTCAACCAAGTCAAAGACATCTCTGTCCTCTGATCTGGGAAGAGTCCAGCTTTATGAGCCTCAATGGGCTCCCCTGGGCTCTGTCGGCCCTAGAGCCATTTGAGAGCTCCCAGGTGAATCCCTGAGCAGGTCAGAAGGTGTGGAAGAGACTCGGAGCCTCCTTGAATTCTCTTTTCTGTGGACTTGAGCTTTTGTTCTGCTCATTCAGTTTCTGCTTGCTGAGTCTGCTTCCCCAGAGCCTGCCCCATCCAGTATGTGGGTCTGGCCATGCTGTTGCAATAAATCTGCAACCTGGGCACATTTCTTAACCTCTCTGAGTCTCAGCCCTTCAGCTGTAAAATGAAGCACCGCCTGGCAAGGCTTTGCAAAAGTCAAACAAGAATTACCCTATAAAGTGCCTGCTGTGGTTTGAATGTATCCGACCTTCATGTTGAAACTTAACCCCACTGTGGCAGTATTAAGAGGCGGAGCCTTTTGGGAAGTGATTCAGTCACGAGGGTTCTGCCTTTCTGGACTTCCATCTCTTCCACCATGTGAGGACACTGTGTTCCTTCCTCCCCTCCAGAAGATGCAGCAACAAGGTGCCATCTTGGAAGCAGACAGCCTTTACCAGACCCCAGTCCTGCTGGCGCCTTGATCTTGAATTTCCCAGCCTCCAGAACAGTAAGAAACAAATTTCTGTTGTTTATAAATTACCCAGTCTGTGGTATTTTCTTATAGCAGCACAAGTGGACTAAGGCAGTGCCCAACAGAAGGCCTGGCCCTAAGTGCTCAGTGTACAAAAGCTGCTATTAACATGACAATGATAGGGTAAAGAAGATGGGACAGTCTATTTGTCAGCTTCTATGTGCTCCTCCACAGCTGCCATCTGGGCCTTCCTCACTGCAACTCACCAGGCACTAATACACTCCCTACTCCAAGTACTGCAACAACGTACCTTCAAACCCCTTTCTTTACCTGGCTCACTTGGCACCTGGCTTCCTCTGGCAAATAGAACCCTTGGAGCCAGAATGTGAGATAGAACCCATGTCCTACCAGGCCCACCCAAGGTAGGTGCTATAGCCCATGCCCCACTCTCTGACCCCCGAGAGAACAAACCCTCTAGCACCATAACAGCAGTCTAGTATTCTCCCAGATTTAGCAGGTAAGACCAAGTTTTTTAAGGCCAAGATGTAGAAAACGATTCTTATTCCACTTTTAACCAATCATCCACTAGTCTGGATAACCCAAAGCTAAATCAAGATTGGGGTCGGGGGAGAACAAGGAAGAGTACACTGTCAAGTCTCCACGAACCCGGTGTTTCCTGGTTCCCATTCCTTCCCCAGCTGAGCAGTGATTAGTGTCTGGAAATGCCAACACAGTGTGTTTATACACACCAGTTCTCCTGCCAGTAGATTCATTTCAGGATACACAAATGCCATAATCCCTTGTTATATACCTAACTCAACATGAAAACAGGCAGTTCTAACACACTACTCAATGCTTCTTTGCTTTCTAGCTGCTATATGCATACAAAATGTAAACACTTGTTATAAAATAAAGTAAAAAGTGCTGTAAATTATAAGCTCCTTAAAGGCAGCAGCTGTTTCTTCTTTGGTAGGCCTCATGACCCTAGGAACTGCCTTTGTACCTAAAAGTAGTAAAAGTTTGCTCAATGAATGAATGCAAAGTTTACACACAAACACACAAATGAATGCACATCCACGCACACACGCTCACACTACATAAACCCTCTCCCATGATAAAGTCTTCCTTTGGCAACATGGACAACAGAAGCGACTGCAGCTCTAGGACACCTTCTACATCATTAATTCTGTGAGAAGAGCTAATTTTACTCAAGACTCGCCTTAGGCACTGACCTGAATAAAAGAGGAATGGATCCTAAGAGATTACAGAATTCACCTCCCTTACTTTACAGACTGGAAACCATGGAGCTGAAAGTGAGGAAGAGAGGAAGATAACGACAGCACTGAAGCCAGTCTCAGGCCTGCCGCTCCCATGCCTTAGTGTTTCCACTGGCATCGTGTCAGACCCTACAAAGAATATTCCAAATGTGTAAGACACACCGCAGTTTCTAATACCATCTGCTTGCCATAAACAATCCCATAACGTCTGCATAATACCGAGTACTTCTGCTGAAAGCAGAAGCAATAAGCAAATATATTTTAAAATCTTTTCAAACAGGTACTTCTATTCAGCAACAGGCTGCTTTATATCCCAAAGAGCTGCCAGTGAATCTGAACTTCATTTTGTTATTGGATATAAAAGCAGCTTACATGGATGGTTGTTACCTTTGACCAGCAACTTGTCTCTCACAGAAACCCTCCGAGTGGAGTCAGATGCTGTGGCTGCTGTCCGAGACCCTTTGAGACCATCATCCCGCTTCAGTTTGCTTGCCAGCGTTAGCATTACTGCTACCTTTACCCTGAAAGGCAGGAACAGAAGCAGGGTTAAGGACCCTGTCTCCAGACAATGAATAGACATTGCACGTGTGTTTTTTTACTTTGATTTTTTTCTATAATTTATAGAAAAATTTAGCATGCATTAGTGTGCAAAGACTGGATCCTTTCACAATGAATTTCTATGTTACCCTAGATAAGTCTAATTTTTTAAAGTATGAATTAAAAGTTTAAAAAAGGGACAGCCATGCATTTAACACTGATTGGGCACCCATTAAGTGCCAGGCCCTGGGATGTGGTCATGACAAATCTGCTGTGGAGTGCACAGTCAAGAGAGGCCTCCATAGCTTCTCAACCAGTGTGCCCCACCGATGGGTTCCGCACAGGTCCAGCACAGTCCACAGTGAGTCTGCCCTTCCCTGCTGCAGGAATAATGCACCTGTTTGTGGCCCAGGACCTGGCCCATCATGAACTAAGGGAGCAGCAGTCTCTGGGGAAGGAGGGACACCAAAAAGCTTTGCTTTCCTTCCTCCTCCAGCAAAGGTGTGGACAGAGCTTTCATAAGCATCTTCAGATTTATTTATGTTGTATTGAAGTTGTTTATGTTGCGTCTTATCTACGTTTTTTGGCAATATCAACATCAAGACTAAATTATAATTAATGCTCCAAATTATATTCTGTTCATTTGTTGCTTCCAACCCATTTGTGTTTCAGATTCCCCCACTGAAAGCTCCCTGGGAGGACAATAAAGACCAAACACAGGTGATGCCCCTGACTGCTTGGGGGAAGGGCTAGAGAAATGCCACCAATTTTTTTTAAAGTTTTTTTTTTAGAGTAATTTTAAGTTCACAGCAAAATTAAGAGGAAGGCACAGAAATTTCCCACGTAACTCCTGTCCCCACACATGCAGAGCCACCCCATTATCAAACTCCCCCACCAGAGTGGCACATTTGCTACAACTGATGAACCTGCACTGACAAATCATTATTACCCAGAGCCTACAGTGTACATTAGGATGCCACCATTTTAATAGGTATAATTATCCTCTAGAATCTTACTTCTGTTTCTAACATAAACTGCCATTAATCTGATATTTCTTTTAGCTTTTACTTATTTTACCACAGCCACAGGGGGACTTTGAAGCTTCTTTTAACTGAGGACAAAAATTGGTCACCAGTTCGATATTTCCATTGTTGCTGTAATATGATTTCCTTTCAATACCACTTGCACCGTTTCAATAGAAAATTATCTAAAAATTCCATGTGAAAAGCTTGACCTAAGCACAGAAATTTTAGTTTGAGGCTAAGATCCTGAAAGCCAAAACATAAGAATACCCCTCACCTCACTGGTATTTTAAACCATTTTTAACCCAGTTCTAGCATAGCTTCTCACACTATCTTCTGTGTATCCCCCAAAGACTGTCAGATTTTATTTTCTATTTTTTCTATCATGAAAACTATGCATTGACTATGATCTTCTGAACTGTACATGGCCTTTTCCAAACTGAAGACACAGACATACACACCCCCTAGTATCCTTTAAAAGCATTGGTCTAAATGCTTCAAAAGATACATCTCATTAGTGTTCACAAGCTCTTAGAATTGCAAATCTGGGAAGGACTTCTACCTGCCTCCCAGTCCATTTTACCACATGGACCCTGGGAGAACAGGGGCCCAGAAGGTGGGCTGACCAAGGCCACTCAGCTGCTAGAAGCAGTCATCACAGAAATGCAGGTTTCCCTCTCGGCGATGACAGAAGTGTTTTTATCTTGAGTGTGGTCAAGGTTTCTGTGGTATATAAGTATGTCAAGACTTATCAATTACATACTTTAAATATGTGCAGTTCAGTATAGTTCAATAAGTTGAAAAAATGTGAAAGCAAACGAACAGTTTCTTCATCCCGTGGACCCACACAGAGGCACAGACAGAACAGTGAACACACACATCTTCATGGCTTCACCCAGGGCAAGGCAAAATCAGTTCAGCTGATAAAGTCACTTCACAAGGGAACAGTCAGCAACACCCAAGGAGCACCATCTAGAGCCAAGCTCTCCTGCTTCGCTCCCACCTGGAATGATCTTTAGGGAATCCCTTAAGCAGAACTGGATCACTGAGCTGTGTGCACTTCCTGGGCCAAGTCTGCTGCCACGCACCCAGACTTGGGTACATCAGTCCCACCACATCATCAGGGTCACCTGATGATGTGCCAAGACACGCATCCATCACTCAAGGGTCAGCTGGAAGCTCCATACAAGGACCGCTGGGTTTTTATCCTCTGACTGACATCCACAATGCAAACAGGGCAAAAAGTAAAAAGTAAGTTAAAAGCAGAATGTGTATAGAGAGTTCAGCAGGCAATACCCTAGGAGAATCATAATGAAGAGTCCCATGGAAAAGCGAGTGCCAGGGCACATGTGTGGTCCACACCCAGCTCCCTGAGGATCTGCAGGGAAGGAGCTGCTCAGAGGGGCCTGGCAAGAGTGATCACTCACATAAAGAAGGGCTCACCACCAAGAAACTCTTCTGCATCACTGCAATCTGCGGGATGTGCTTAATGCTTTTATAGCCCCTCTGTGGGCAGAGGATGCCCCAGAGTCCATTCCACTGAAAGAGTCAGATTCCTGGCTTACTATCTTCAACAAGTTTGTGGTTCTTAGTAAAACACATTGGGCACTGACTGTGCAAGGTATAAAAGATAACACTGGCGTTTTATTTCCATAGAAGATAATACAAAACTTACTTTTCTAACATTCTAAGCAATCTAAGTATATACTGACCATCTATTTCCCCACCATCTGCATCATCACATGCCACGTTAGGGATAAACTAAAGACCTAATTTGGGAATGTTTCCCTAGCTGTAAAATTAAATCTGTACAAAAGGATTTGAACACAAATAATTATTCAAACTGTCAAGAGGTTAGCTGAATACCTGCACTTGCTTCAGAATTCACCTTTCTTTCTTCGATATGCCTCACCTCTTGAAGATCTGGTTCAAAACTAAACTTCCCCTTCACTGCAGATTACTCTCTGACTAAGGCAGCATTTCAGTAACAGACCAGCTATTCTGCATAGCATGGTCAGTCTCTAAATTCCACAAGTTGTAATTGGCCCAGTTAAGTTCCTCCTCTAGGTGGGACCTGCTTTCAGACTGCCCAAAGAAGAGGATTCTTGTCTGCCATTTATTAGTCTCATCATCAAGTGATATTTACTCAGCATTCCTGTGTGCAGTGGCAAAAACAGGCCATGTCACCTGTGCAGGAATACTGGGAGCCAGTCAGCTCAAGGTGAGGGGAACTCCTCATTTACAATTCCTCCTGCTGTGGAGAAGTCCCAATCCAAGCAGAAAAGATGGAACTGCAGGTCACCAGGGGACACTCAACTTTTCCAGCCAAAGGGTCCCAGATCAGGATACAAAAAAGTCCACACCCCACTCTTCTCCTGCAGAATGCCAATGCCCAGGAACTTTCCACCTGGCACAGGAGTTCCCCGGGCTGGCTGGCCATCTTTGGAGTCCAGCCCTTTATTTTCAGCGGTAAACTTGCCCCCTTCTGCGCTGCCTCCTACCTGAACGGCAGGAATGTCCAGGTGGGGGTCTTCAAGCCCACATCACTAAGGTGATTCCTGTCTCTGAATACCTTTCCACCTCTAAGCTTCCCCTGCCTTCGTCCCTCTCTCCAGCCAGGAACCTTCTGCACCAGGCAGGCCAGCCTCCTCACCCTTCCTCAACAACATCCTGCTCATTTCTGGAAGCTTCTGTCCAATCTGATATCCACGTCTGGAACACCCTGCTTTCCCCTGCCATCTAATCCCACCCCTTCCTCAAGGAAAACAGACTCCTACCTAGATCCCAATGTTTCCTGCCTCCGAGAAGCCTTCTCTGCTACTCCAACCCAGGACCCCACTCCTCCACGGCGGAGGACGGAGAACGCAGAACGCAGAGAGGGGCGGGCCCAATCCCCTCCTGTGACAGGTGAGGAAACTGAGCCCAGGGAGGGGAAGGCCACACCCAACATCACACACCAGCTGAACCAGGTCTGGAATCAACACTTTGCTGTACTAATTGTCCCCAGATGCCCTCCCCTTCTCTACGGCCCTGCCGCGGTAACATTTCCCAAACCAGCTGGGCCGCCTCGATGGTGGCTGAGCGTCCCTACTTACTCTTTCCGCCGCCGGTAGGTGGACGAGGCGGGAGGGTCGCTCCTCCTCACCTTCCCGGCTCCTATGGCCTAACGGGACCTTTGAAGCCATCAGGCGTCCGAGCCCCGCGTCGGAGCCGGTGACCTTGGCCCGGCGCTCGACGCCCCGCTTCCCCTGCACAACGCCGGCAGCAGCTCCCGCAACGGCGCGGGGCCTGGCGCACTGCCGCTTTCAGGGCGGGTGTCCGGTCGCCACCCTCGGCCCCTTCCCATTCACGCTGCCCGGGCTCGCGTCCCCGGTGCCCGCCCGCCCGGCGCCCGCTGTGAGGAGCCGGCGGCCTGAGACGGCCCCGGCGCCGCCAGCGACCTCGGCTCGAC